TCTACCAAATGACGCGCCCGTCTCATTAACTTTGATTTCATTAACAATATTTATTAAAGATTACAAATTATGAAGCTCCAGATGTTTCTTCTCCCTCCACATGTTAAGTCAGAACCCTGTTCTCAGATACTGTGGATCTGTGTTTTGCCCTCAGGTTGAGTGATCCGGTTTCACACGATACAGAACAGGTCAAATCAAAGTTCTCTACGTCAATTTTTACATCTGAGATACGAAACGAAAATACAAAACACACTGATGTCTCTGCAGCAGAAAAGTGTATTAACTCGTAATGTATTTACTAATTGCATCGCCAATTATGTATTAGTGTAAAACCAACTTGTGTGATATCCACGCCCAAACTTCACTCGTGAGACACACATTTTCATCACGGGTTAAAATCAATACGAATATAATCAGGTCATACGCCTTGCAACAAAACAGAGTTTGGCTAAAGTTCAAACTCAGACGCCCTTTTAGTCGGGAATGTTAGATCCACATTTTTTTTGTACCAGAGACGCAAGCAGCAAGTCCCGAAATTCCATGGCGCCCCATGGGCCTTACAACTTCATGTCATATCTATTTACATCCGCAAAGTTGAAACTGGCTTTCAGGCCGTACTTATTCCCGAAAGGGCATGCACCGAGAGGAGCAATTCCTCTGCCCCTTCGCCGTTAAGTCGGTTCGTTCCTTCTGACGATCAGGGTGACGGTACTGGCAGCAATATCTCCACAACTGATCCTCTTATTTGCGCTTGTAGGAGAAACATCTTAATACACAAATCACCATTTTGTTTGGAAATTAATGCATTTACTAGAGCCTTATATCCGTCCGCAGCCCTGCGTTTATCTGTACCCGTTATGGTAACAGGAAGGCGTCTTTCGAGATTTAGGATAGAAGGGACGTACTTAGTAGGAAACCTTTGCCTCCACCTATTTTTTACCTACAGACGGCACCATATCCAGTTTCCGAAATAAAGTGCCTGAAAGAAAAATCAAAACGGATCATATCCAAAGTAAACCACATCCTGCTCTTTGAGAAATGGTAGTTTGGAAATACCACAGGTACAAATTCATTCCCAGATTTTTAGTTCAGAAATCTTTAACAGAATAAGACTTTATATTATTTTATGTTTATCATGATGATTCGATGTAAGCCATTTCACTTCCTTGGCTATTCCAACGGCACGAAAAGTCAACTACAACCAATTAAACCTTGTGTTCTGTTTGATGGTTATACCCCGTTTGCGTTTGTACTGCAAACATTTCTCTCCGTCTAACTCGAGAAGACGCTCAGAACTGCTGTTGTCAGATTCAACATAGAGAAAATGTTTTGGAAATGTTAAATGTTGCGAAAAATGTTATTGAGATAAATTTCCATCTTCGGCATGAATCCTGCTCATGACAGATGTACGATTCACTCGTCATAATAATCCATATTCACAATATACAACACGACCATTTGTCTTCACTCACACGGCAGTTCCTTAACAAATGGCCGAGTTCTCAGAGGCTCCACTACGAACCGACACCTGTTTGCTCTCTTCATTTCAGGAACAGCAAATTTCACCGACCGTAGAATTGCCACATGAATAAGTGAAATACGTATTACAGAACCCTACAGCCTATATTAACAGCAAAACATTTATTATTGTTGATTCTTTATATCAGTATTATGTTACACATTGTCCGTTGCCTGAATTCTAACACAGACGGCGTTATGCAAGATGGCATTACCTCCGTCTTCAAGCGGCTGTCACTATATTCAAAAACACGTTTCTTATTAATTCAGAGATCAGTAGAAACGGTCGGCATCAAAAGATCTTTGAAGACAAAATAATTTTGTAAATAAATAAAACCCTTTACAGCTGGTAGATGGAAATGTACAAGATCTATTTCCTCAAAGCGCCCGTTCTAATTGTTAAGAACGTTCTATCTCGAATTTACATCACTTTTATAAATGCGAAGATATTCAAGCTGTTTCTCCAAACTTCCCCTTGATTAATTTCTAGATACCGTCTCTAGAGGTTCATTATCATACAGCTACCTTCCACAATCCCATCGCAGGAAACTCTACTTCGTTACTGAGGATTCTTTAAGAAAATATACTCCAACATCATTACAAAGGGGGGGAAATGCATCAACATTGCGTGTTGAGTACCATTTAGGATGACGCGTGGGATGAGAACGAAATGTTTTATTTTCGAGGTGCATGGGGGAGTTATTTCATGAAAACTTAGAACAATGCGTTTCGTTTAAAGCACAATAGCTTCAGATATAGTAAAGAATGGCGTAAGGAAGGACAAACCGTATTACAGCACACACCATTCAGCGTCTGTTGTGGATAAGTACAACTTTGCGCGTTGGGAAGATAGCTTTTTATTTACAAGACAATGCTCTTACATCTGAGTTCAATAATTTAACTGCAGACTCGTAAGTAAAAACACTCTAAGAAATTAAAAGATTGCGCAATTCTAAGCTCTCTGGGTCGGAATTTGTCTTAAACTAAATTAAATATGTTTTACATAAGTCATATACAAATCAACAGGATCTTTAAACATTCCGGGAAACGATTTATGTAATATTTTAAATTTTCCGAGATCGGTTCTCAAATATGTGGAATGTTTATATTAAAACGTAAAAAAAACGCAGAATATCTTTCAATAATCTCCTTAACCACAATGATCGATTTAAAAGGCCAACTCCCACCCTCCAAGATGCTGGAGAAATTATGACTCTATTTTACTATACTTGAGTGAATACATTTCTATGCTGTAGTTTCATCTACAAATTATTACTACAGCAGCGAATAAAACAACACAGCAATAATAGTTTTAGCCCTGGGAGTAACATTTTGAATTTTATAGATAAAAAAACATCAATAAGTCGGCTAATACTTCTCCTGCACCACCAAATTTTCAGTATCTGCGTCTCTGTAAACACACTTTTAATTTAGTTTCACTTTCTCGTCTGTAAACTTACTTCGTTGGTGACTCTGCAGGTCCCGATGACCCACGCGTCACCGCTACCTACCTAATCCCGTCCCTTCATTCAGACCATTCTGAATAAGAAACGCATGAGACAAATATTTACCTGAACAAACTTCAACCAAGGTTTCAAACAAACATATTTAATTATTTAAATCCTAATGGTAACTATACATACCACATGCTCTCTAATGTCTCTTCATTTGGTATTTATGTGTTTCGTATGATTCTCAGTGCAAACAGCGATTATTTCCTGAAAGGGCATTAACCAGCTAATATTTATAATGGAGACGTGTGGTGTTTTCTTCGCGGTACGGACTGAATTCATAAATATTATTCAGAGGAGATTCGGCTTCAATGGGATAAATAACCTAACTTTGTTACGTCACATTCAGTGAGAACTCTGCACAGAGCCTGTATATAAATTTGCCACCTGTTTTTGCAGTCTTTAAACGGATGCTGTGCTGTAACACATACTCCCACTTTTTTATCCAGATTTTGATGATGCAAATATCTGATCGTTAACTGATCTGTGCGTTTGAATCTAGTGGCATGGTATTAACTGTATTAATCTAAATATTACATGACACATCAATTCCTGTGGAGAATTGTCTTTATGAGAATTTATGGAGAATTGGAAGGTAAAACTCCACCCATTTCTAACTTTAACGCCAGATGACGGTAAGTCGACAACCCAACATGCCAGTCGCTTTACAACCAGGCACAAGTCTTAATTTCAGCAGAACTAAAACATCAGGAATTCGAGAAAAACAAAAATAAAATACTTCGATTCTTATCGTAAACTACGAGGGTAGCTAAAAAATAACGCTACAAGGTTTCCTTTGGAAGTTTTAGGAAAGAGATTTGGCGTAGGTTGCGGCCATTCGTGTAACGTCCGACTGTGAATTTTATTCGTTTCGTGGGTTCGAAAGCGAGGTTCTGGAAAACTGCCCAAATAATCTGAGTGTGTATCTTATAGCAATGTTTGTGTACAGTGTGGGGATTGGGTCAGTCCATGGCGACAAGGTTTCGCAATACCTTGCGTCAAAAACTCGTATCACCGACAATAGATCATCATTTCGAACCGGTCATGGTGTTACTGGAAAAACACTCAAGCGCCAATTGGCGCCACTTTCGTGTGTAGCTCCAATTACACTCCTGCATCTCAAAACAGGAATCATTAAACGAGCGTTATTAATCGAAGTCTGAAGCATTCTCACGATAGTGCGACAGTGCTTTCCCTAATCTACCCATTGTCTAGGTGTAAAAAAACACGTTTCTGAAGTTGGAGGTCTGACACTAACTCAACCAGGGGCCCAACAGATTAGGGGTTTACATTTCAGTCACCTAAAGACGGAAGTAGAATCAACTTCCGAAACGTTGTAGTAATAGTGTTGAATTATCCGACCTAAATGAATATCGAAATACCTCCACAGACATTTTCGTAAAATTCTCTATTTTGGGGGTATTCAACGCGTTCGACCATATCGTCGGAACTATTTGAACACACCCACTGCAGGATTGCCCTCTCTACTAAAATATTACAATCAAAACCATGAAATTTGTTGTCTTCCCTGTAACCAAGCTTAACTCTAGTAACAAATCACCCTAACGATGGAGGCAGCAAGCTCCTCTGAAACGCCGATAAGCATCTACCAGACTACGAGTTACAGCATATCAGAAAATATCCATCTTCATACTTATCGCATTAAAACCTGAAATCTCTACCTTGATAAATACCCTGTATTATCGATCGTATTATTTCGGGTTTATCCTGAATATTGGCATCCACCGTCAAGTCTACACGGCGCCAAAACCCAGAAGATCGTCGTCATCATCACCCTCACCGCCGTGAACCCAAATCACATCCACCCTGTGGCATGGAATGCAGCCTAAGGCGGCGAGTATGATGACGGCTGTCCTTTGAGTTGTGGCGCCGTACAGTCTGGTAGAAAGTTCCCGAAGTTTCAGAGGGGCTTGCTGCCTCCTTCATCAAGGCCGAGTGGGCAGAACTCACCAGGTACCACATCTGCGGCCACCGCGGGTCGTTGAGGTTCGCTCGGTAAGACCGCTGACGGAGAGGCAGAAGGTCCCTCTTCCGCCGCGACCTGACCGCTTGCTGCTTTGCCCACTTCACCTGCAACCACACAAATTGTTAGCGCGTCTGTCCCACGTACACACACTTCCAAAGCTCAAAGAACCAAAATTACACAAAAGTGAACTGACCGCTCCCGGTATATCAATCAAGTAGGTAGAAACACGCATTGGAGAGATTATACATATTATATATGACAATTCTAAACATTCTTAAACTTAAAAAAATTTGCGCCCTTCACATCACATAAAGTCGCAGTAATTATTTAATTAAAACAAATGCCGGAGATGAGTATTTCTTTTAAGGTTAGAATTATTCATAACTTGGAAGACATTCATTACGTCACACACTTAACTGCGAAACAGCCATTACCCTCAGCACAGCCATTCAATTTCCTCTTTTCTTCAGAGTGGAATTAACCAGTACTGTAGTTTCTTATATGCATTAAAATAAAGAGCTTCATACAACTTTTCTCCTTTCTCTTCTCTGCTTTTCATTTTCACCCGTGTATTCTACAAGCTTTTCCAAATCAACTTCGCCTTTCCTCCTCCTGTTTATCTTTCATCAGTGGCGCGTACTGCATTAGTACCTCAAAGGCATACAGAAACTATACAAAGCATATCTTAAAATTACAAGCAGTAAACAAATAATTCAACCATTTTTAAAAATTCTCTACCCACTGAAGCCTAAGTTCGTCTAGATAATATTTAAAACTCTGGTCGCACCGCAAAGAAAACACCACACTTCACCATTACAAAGATGTTGATTAACGCAGCTTAATGAAATAAACTCTGTTTACAATGACAATCAAACAAAGCCCATAAACACAAAATGAAGAGTTACTGATTGTTAAATAAGGCGGCACGTATAGTTACCACTGGGCTTTAAAGGGTTAACATCGTCCTTTCAAATTCCAGATGAATTTCTTAATAAATTTTGCAAAAGCTATACGAGTTATTTCGAAAATAAGACTTCAGAACACGCGCAGAATTTTACACAAATAACAAACAGTCATTCCGTCGATATAATAATGATGCCTTATTTTGCTTTACCAACGTAAATGTTACGCAGCTGTACTTGACAGAAGCAATTTGAATTTTATTATACCCGTTAGCATACCAAGCTAATCGATTCATCCCTGAAACTGAAAATAATTTATTCACAAAAGATATTAATATTCATTTAATACCTCGAGTAAAGCAGATTAAAATTTCAACTTACGGTAAATTTCACCAATCTCTTTATGACTTTTTTTTAACTAAGCTGCAGACTATAAACCACCGTTAATGCTCTTCAGACTCCGTTGCAAATATGGACACACATCCCTTCTAATTAGTTCAGACGTAAGGATTAGCAATATCAAACCAACTATGGTAATTGTCTCAACACGCTTCGTTACTGGACACAAGTTCCCTAAGCTTTGGAATGGCAGGCTAAGCACATAAAGGGCTTTAAATAAATTCATATATTGAGGTATTTCTGCTTACTGAACAAAATTGTGAAGTACATTATTAATAATTTTGTGTGCAAGTGCCATGCGTACCAAAATAACATGGTAATAAACATATTATTCTTTATGAAAGTCGAAAAGAATCTGCAAAAATAGTATCTTAAATCAAGCCACGACAGACCATGGTCACTTCCTTCCACATATCTTCCAGCTCATCGGGCATAATGATCATCCCGTTCAACCCTACGTAATATCCTCGGTTTAAAAGGGTGGCATAAATTAGATATCAAGTGGCTTCTATGGTTTTACTTTTAATTTATTTCGCTTCTAGCGCCGTGGCCGGAAGGCAACTTCTCCAGTACTTGTGTGAGACGGGCAGCATAAACAACGACCTGCAGGCGTTCTAAAGCCGAAAGTTCTTCGCGACCTGCGACAATACTTGAAACTATTGTGGATAAAGACAGATCGGCTTGACTTTATTTTAATGTCGAGTCTACACGAAAGAAAGGGTGCTATTATAAGTTCTTCCTTGAGTGTATCTTTTCGCATTTTTAGCAAAATTCGAACAAATATGCGAACAGTTCCTGTACGAAGGCGATCTAGGACTCTGATGCAGCGCCATCGCTTCAGACTTCTATTTAGAAGGTACGCAATTCGAATCTCGGCCGGAGTAGGAAGAAACGCACAGGCTTAAAATAGGCCACGACCGTTCTGCTATCTGCAGATTATGGTAAATCGTTGATTCTTATGTTATTTAATGGCAATGTTTAAGCTTCGTACGTTACGTAACATGAAGGAACGATATGAAAAGATGATAATGAATGATGAGTATCTGATTAAATGCAATGATTAAAGTAGCTACTGGTAGCTACTGGTATACGCGTAAAAGACTCGACAAAGCAACGAATAGCCTGAAATCAGGACGGCAACCCGTTACTGATACACCATCTTTCTCGGCCGTTAAATAACACACGTTCAAATAAAACTAATTTCAGATAACAGTGTTTTAAGACCCCTAAAGTGTTTGAGTTAAGACTTTACGTAGAGGTGGTCCACGCCTCTTAAGTTCCTAATTGGTCGGACTAAGTTGCTTGGGATCATGTTTTATTCAAGTTGCTCTACGTCACTCACCCAAAGTGAAAAGTGGACGAGTAATGGAAAAGTCGCGTCTGTTTGTTTGTCCGTTCTCGTGTTCTATCCTACTTAAATAAAGTCAGAACGTGTGTAGATGAAATTAGGTGCTGTGGTTGAATATGAAAAGTTCCGAGAAACGTTTGTGATTCTTGTTACACCCATAAACCCTTACATTACGTGAAACTGAAATAGGTCCTTCCAGAGTTTCTGAAATACAGCTCACCACATAGCTACAAACTGACATATGTCGAAGTGCAAATCTCATTTAAAAGTCCGACATTAATATCAAACATTTTCGATAGGTCTGCAGCACGCTTTTAGCGAAATAATTGAAGGTGAAATCATTTGTGACTCAGTGCAGTGTGATGTCTGTTGCAATTAGCTTTGTAACAATAGGTATCATACGCAACGATAGATTTGATTGTCTAATAAATGAACATCAAGGCAAACGAAGTATGAAGGTATCACAAAGAACGTGTTTGTAAAATATGTGTAATCGATTTGAATACACCTTTCTACTCTTTGTTACAGTATCTTAATGTTGATAATTAAATTTAATTTCGTAATTTACATGGCAATGATAGAATTTGACACGAAGTTTTAAACCGACCTCTTAATCAATAAAACCTTCTCGGGCAATCAGCCGCGTTAACTGGTTACCGTGGTAAACCGACGTTTCGGGAACACATTCTGTCCCCATCTTCAGGGTTCTGATGTGACAGGATCCTCGGAAGTCGCCTGGCGTGTTCCCGAAACGTCGTTTCACTACGGTAACCCGTTAAAGCGGTTGATTGCCCGAGAAGATTTTATTAATTGTACTCGCCGCGAAAGTCTCAAATCCTATACAACATCTTAATGTTAGGCAGAGTACTGAGAAACGGCCTCACAAATTCTGCTTAACGTTCGTGTTATTTAAGTCAGACGAAAACTGCTTGCAACTGCAAGAATGCAAAAGCTTGTTTTTCTCGATCACGCCACGTTACTACGCCTCGACGCCATTATTCTCACGCAACTACAAAGCCACAATGTCAGTCTTTAAATCGAAGTAAGTTGAAGAAAATGCACCATCATCGCAGCACAAAAGATGCTCTACGGGGGGGCCGTGCAGTTTGGACTTTACTTAACGAAGCTGTCCATAGCTCAGGCTGCAGACTGTTGAACCGAAAGACAACGACTAAGTAATGAATGTAAAAGGATATGAGAGGAAGCGGTCGTGGCCTAATTTAAGGTACTGGCCAGGCATCTTACTTGAGTAACTGAGGAAAACCACTAAAACTCTCACTGGGGGGCAGCCGGGCACCGGGCCGACGTATTAACCCGGGACTTCCCAAACACAAAGTAGGAGTGCCAACCAATCGGCCGAGACGTATTGCCAACATAGCACTAAGTTAAAACTTTATTTCAAAATGCTTCTTCGAGTTATAATGTCGATTAGTATAATTGTGAATGTTGAGCTGGGAAGGAATTGTTCGAGGATTGATTAAAAGGAACTGCATTTCTAACACAATATGAACAATTATAATTAGCAGATAATTAATTCGAATCGTAAGGTTATATAAAGTATGTCCTGTTTACGAAACTGTGTTTCGTACGCTTCCAACGGGATACGAACTTCTGGGCAGATTACAGCGTTTCGGAGGAACATACTGCTTCTATTTTCGGGTACTTCAGCCCTGAAGACGGAGGAAGTCCAAAACGCTGGTATCCACCTCCAAGCCCACAGTTGTTATTCTCTGATACACCTTCCAGCACTTTACGGCCAGTGTAACATCAGTAATTGAAAAAGAATTAATAAATTGTTCATGAACAAATCGATACAGAGAAGCTTCAGATCGTTCGATTACACCGAAAGCCGTTGTGATGCTGTCGATTGGGAGGGGTCAAATAAGCTTGTTCAGAAGAATGCCGACAGCGGGGTTGGAACAGCGGTCCCTTTAACCCGCTCAGCTGTGAGTAACGATGAAAAACACGAAGATGAATGATCTTGCATTTCTTTCGGCAGAGACCCTCGATAGCAGCATCATTTGCATGTTATTTGTTGCAAGATAATAAGGTTCATGACAAGAGATGCTTGGAATCGATGAACAAAGCAACATCCCAAAGTGATAAAATCAAGGATGAATGTAATTAAAGCCTGTTTTCAAGACGTCGGTAAACAACGTACAGGCTACGAACAAGTTAGGAAATGTTCGTGCAGCATAACAGTTCATGAACTAGGCAGAATCTGACCTCTGTACATGGTGCAATTGACTTCAACATTTGTCTGCAGGAACTGACTTTTGGGCGGGTTATAACTGCAAGACGGAGGATTCCCCCAGGTAGTTGCACGGCCGAGGATCTACGGCTGGAGATTTCCTAAAACTCTTTCCTCTCGGAGAATAAGCCCCAATGGATAAAAGGCTAGGCGACCTAATTCGTTAATAGAAATTCAATTTTACCAACTCCTTTTTGGTCTTCC